AAACACTTTATAGTATTGTAAAGTTCTGATGACCTATTGAGGAGATATTTAAAATACCATTTCCATGAACAATCCAAGCCATATCTACAAAGACAGTGCTGCCGCCTGCCAGATATATAGTATGTAAAGTTAGCAAATGAATTATAATCCGAATAGATCCTAATGTTGTATATAATATGTAAAGTTAGCAGATGAACTATAATCCAATAGATCCTAATGTTGTATATAATATGTAAAGTTAGCAGATGAACTATAATCCCAATAGATTTTATGTTGTATATAATATGTAAAGTTAGCAGATGAACTATAATCCCAATAGATTTTATGTTGTATATAGTATGTAAAGTTAGCAGATGAACTATAATCCAATAGATTTTATGTTGTATGTAATATGTAATGTTAGCAGATGAACTATAATCCGAATAGATCCTAATGTTGTATATAATATGTAAAGTTAGCAGATGAACTATAATCCCAATAGATCCTAATATTGTATATAGTATGTAAAGTTAGCAGATGAACTATAATCCCAGTAAATCCTAATATTGTATATAGTATGTAAAAGTAGAAGCTGAGCTATAATCCCAGTAAATCCTAATGTTGTATATAGTATGTAATGTTAGCCGATGACTATAATCCCAATAGATCCTAATGTTGTAGCAAATTTTGAAAGGTATTTTCGCAACTCTCATAAAGTTACCCATAACCTGAGTGATGTATTGATAATATGCAGCATTGTGTATATGCGCAGAAAAAATGAACACTTACACTAGGCTATCGCCACGAAACAATGAAACATATTTAAATATGAAGCTCAATTTATCATTATATTCACCATTGTCACTTATATAAATATATATATATATATATATATATATATATATATACACATGTAAGTTCACTGTGGTTAGTAAGAAGACCATCCAAAACACCTTACACGTGATATAGACTCCATCATTATTCGAAACATAGTTTTATTCTTTAGAATTGCCCTCATCCTGGGTTTCTGATGAGGAGTGGAATTACAGCTGAGTGATATGTGGTGAGTCGAATAATAGTTTGAGCTTTATTTGTACTATTTTAAACAGCTTGTCAGCCGAATAATTTGACAAGAACATTTGTTGAAATTAATTTTCGTAGTAGCATTATACTAATATTTACGAAATGTTAATGGAAGCTACATCTCTTAGTTTGGTTGTTTAGCTTGAAATCTTATAACGTTTATATTCAGGGTTCGATCCCTACTATGGACACAGCGTAGATAGCCCTCATTGCGATTAATATAGGCAAATCCGCGTAGTTAAGCTGAAATGGTGGGTTCAAAGGTTTGTTTGTTTGTTTAAGCACAAAGTTACACAATTGGCTATTTCTGCTGTCCCACCACGGATATCGAAACTCAATTTCTGGCATAATAAGCTGACAGACTTACCACTCAGCCACTGAGGGGCAACTCAGAAGTTTTGTTTCTTTGTTACGCACAAAGCTAAACAATTGGATACTTACGGCTGAGTCAATAATAATTAGCATGTTGCATGTTCTAAAATCTATTTCGTTGCTCTCGCTACTTGTTTCATCGGGTCAACTCATTCATTTATATAATATTTACCATCAAATCAAAGTGAAACCTAAAATGTACGCTTAAAAAGTGTCTGGTCATAAATCTTGTTACAAAAACGAAACACCTAAAACGTCGACCCGTTCTTGTTTTAACGTGAGTTTCAACATGAATGTAGATGAAACTGTATCTCATGAGAAATCTTGTTTAGTCTCTGAACACAGCTAAAAGACAGCCAACAAAAGCAACGTAATAACAACGTGTGTTTTTAGCAAGGAGCCAACGTTTGTAAACTACCGAGCAGCGATGAAAGGGGGTTTGATTAATGTCTGACCGAGCTTAACATTTCTTGCTGAGCTAAGTAGAAACTAGAGGGCGCTGTGAAGATCAAGCCGAGTACGTAGTGTTGAAAAGACGTATACGATGTCTTTGAACTCGAGAATCTTTCCATAACGTTAAATGTAACATTAGCCAGGCGCCCGAAATGTGTATCCAAGTCGATGAGATCGTTTTGAATATTTTAATAATTAATAACGTATTTTCAGCTTGAGTGAGGTTCAGTTTTGTAAACAAATTATGACAGGTTGAAACTTAAAAAGTATTCGTTTTTACTTTCCTGTTGCATACAGTAGTATTTTAGCATTATTTTACTTGAAACGCAACAGACTAGTTTCAATTGAAAAAGTAAACTTGAAATTTTTGAATTAAGAAAATTTGGAGTAGTAGAAAAGCGGTGACTGGTTTCTCTCTCTCATTGGTCAGCAGTTCTAAATTAGAGATGGCTATGCCCGAACCTTGAGATTTTGGACTTGACTGTTTAGCACTGACCTCGAAATCTCTGACCAACTGTTTAATACTATACCTTGAGATTTCTAACCTGGCTTTTGAACACTATACCTTGAGTTTTCTAGCCTGGCTTTTGAACACTATACCTTGAGATTTCTAGCCTGGCTTTTGAACACTATACCTTGAGATTTCTAGCCTGGCTTTTGAACACTATACCTTGAGATTTCTAACCTGGCTTTTGAACACTATACCTTGAGATTTCTAACCTGGCTTTTGAACACTATACCTTGAGATATCTGACCTGGCTGTTTAACAATGTACCTTGAAATATCTGACATGTATGTTTAACACTATACCTTGAGATATCTGACCTGTATGTTTAACATTTGTGAACTCTTTAATAACGACCAAGTTATCTGAAGGTGCATTGGCATAAGCTAAAAATATACCTGTCCTGTTAGATGTCTAGAAAATACAGTTTTCGTGCTAGACGTGTTAAGTAAAGATATATCGTGTTAGACGTGTAGGTAAACAATTCTATCGTGTAAGAATAAGACGTGTAGGAAAACAATTCTATCGTGTAAGAGTAAGACGTGTAGGAAAACAATTCTATCGTGTAAGAATAAGACGTGTAGGAAAACAATTCTATCGTGTAAGAATAAGACGTGTAGGAAAACAATTCTATCGTGTAAGAATAAGACGTGTAGGAAAACAATTATAAAAGAAACGTGTATAGTTTGGTTTGTTTTGAATCTTGCCCAAACCTACACGAGGGCTATCTACACTATTAGCAGTAATATACAAGAGAGAAGGCAGCTAGTCAACACCACCCACCGCCAATTCTTGGACTACGCTCTTACAGTCACATTATAACTCCTTCACGGGTGAAAGAACGAAAGTGTTTGGTGTGACGGGAATTCTAACCCGCGACCCGCAGATTGCGAGTTGAGCGCCCTAACACTCAGGCTATAAATCCGTATGGAGATCAGAGGTTTTAAGTTATTACCCCCGCCACCGAAGTTGGACGGAGGTTATGTTTTCACCTCTGTGTGTGTGTGTGTGTTTTTCAGCAAGATTTCTTGAAAACGGCCGAATAGATTTGATCGAAAGTTGGTATATATTTGTACTATGAGCCAACTTAGAAGTGATCAGTTGTTTGGAGGGTCAAGGTCACAGCCATGCCACGAAAATAAAAAAAAAACCCTATTTGTTAACATGGTGACAGAATTTTGACACTATTTTTGCTCTGTAGCTCGGTCAAAAAATTACCGGATTTTGATGAAACTTGGTGGACCTATGTAGAATATTATCCATTGTCCTGCCATAGTCCATAGTCCATCGATAATGACAGACATGGCAGATTTTCTTATTTTCTGAGAGCCGAATATGATCAACGCTGCGTGGCAGAGGGGGTAAGCACTTTACCAAGTGCCCCTTAAGCACTCTACCAAGTGCCCCTTTAGTTTTACGATTACTAATTAATTCTGGTTTGTTTGTTTGTTTTTAATTATTAAAACTCAGAGTCATGCCAAATCTTAACTTTGTTTTTTAATTGTAGGGTTTAGATAAATACACGTATTTTTATTTCTTTCGTAAGGATAGTTCGAGGTTATTTATATTTTTAGTTAAATTTAGCACTCTGATTTTCCTCACTTCTCAGTGGAGGTGGAAAAGAACACATATAATTTTCCAGAAGAAAAAACGTAAATACCATGAGGAGAAGTTTCAAAGTTTCTATTGGACAAAAAAAAACACCACCAAAAACTCAGTATCAGCCAAAACTTACAGTTTTTATAACTCCCCCGGTGGTAGCTTTACGAACTTACAGGTCTAAAAAAAAATATTGGAACACGATTTCCCGTGGTTGACAGAGCGTGGGTAGCTTGTGTAACTTAGCAACAACAACATTATCAGCCGAAAAGTGAAGCTGTGACCTCTTATGAGTTCAGTTATATGTATAATGGAAGTTGTCACCTGATCCTGTTTTATTAACAGGTGCACGTGCGAAGTACCAAGCCATTTTCCACATGTTGGTAAAACTAAGCATTATTGGTTAGTTTAATACCGGAGTTAGTGGTTAACTTCTACTAAACATATCACTATTGGTTAACTTACTACCTGTGACTGTCATTAATGTATGATAAAGTATAATTGGTTATACTATTACATATAAATCTGTTACCTCTGTTTTTTGATAATTGAAAATTCTATTAATTGTTCTCTGGTATCTTAATAACAAGTAAGTTTAGGTATGTGTGGACGACGACTAACGGAGTTATTATTGTTTTTATACAGTTTGGTTTGATTCATACTTCTCATGGAGACTACACCATTGAACCAGTGCCCTCTAGGAGTGAAACGGAGAATGTACTCCAGAGAATTCATCGTATGACTCAGCTAAGCTTAACCCAGCCTGGCGGAAAGAAAACCAATGGTCCTATAGAAACGTGCTACCTAAAAGGTATGTAACACATAAGTTTCCTATAGTTAGAGAGCACGTGTTACGTGAGTGAAATCACGGATAGATTAATAAGTGTCCTTACAGGTTGTTTATTCTAGTGTGATTAATTCCATTCTTTCGAAAGGACGGAAAATGGGAATTCAATTTAAAACCTGAATATTTCAAAATTTCCCGGTAACACGATCGTGATGCAATAATCTGCTACTTAAACTTTAGTTGGCAAATACTAGTTAAACTACTGATAGGAAAGTGAATTTTATGATATTCATCAAAGTTGTGAGTTGTTTGCAAGGATTTCTAGAGTTTCTGGCAATACAGAACATGTAATTGGACCACATTTTGGAAGATTCAGAACACGTAATTGGACCACATTTTGGAAATGTCAAAACACGTAATTGGACCACATTTTGGAAGATTCAGAACACGTAATTGGACCACATTTTGGAAGATTCAGAACATGTAATTGGACCACATTTTGGAAATGTCAAAACACGTAATTGGACCACATTTTGGAAGATTCAGAACACGTAATTGGACCACATTTTGGAAGATTCAGAACACGTAATTGGACCACATTTTGGAAGATTCAGAACATGTAATTGGACCACATTTTGGAATCAGAACACGTAATTGGACCACATTTTGGAAGTGTCGAATAATGCCACTTTTATTCGATTCTAAAATGTGCTAAATTAGCGCGTGCGTGAAATGTTGTACGTATTTATAAATATTTTCATATCGAAGTTAATTGCTTACAAATTTAATGCTTTTCTTGCGGACAGACAGACAATAAAGTGATTCATTAACTTCGTACCTCAAACTGGACATATGAAACTGGCGTTATTCAATACTGTTTCCACCATAACAACACTTTACTGATAAATCACGATAAGTCCGGTAGACGGCGCTTCATTTCACCAGCTTACAACACGTTAAAACTATAACATTTTAATATAACTTTAGTTTGATACCATTACTCCCGCTGCTGTGTTCTGTAATCAGTGTTTAAATGGTGATCTCGAAAAGCTCGTGCTCAGTGTATGTGTTAAGACGGAACATGAGTAATAGAAACACTGTCATTTTCATCTAAACAGTTATCACTAGGGTTAAGTCAAGGGGAAGTCTCGTCTATCCACGAAATACGAGTCATCCTTTGAAACGAGGTCTGGGTTAATCGGTGTTGGTTTCCTTTCTAACAAGAGCTTCAATGTGCATTAATGATGACGTCCGTTTGGGTATTTCAATGTTAGCAAACAATGCGACCTAAGTTTTAATATAATTACTAAATCTAACAGCTGTTCACGAGTTTGGTACATCAGTTTATTGCTTAAGTTGTTGTTTTTTTGCTTTGTTTTTTACAAAGAGATTAGAGGGAATTTTTTTTTGTTCTTATAATTTGATTTGATCGATCTCTGTGTCATTAACTCTGTAGAATGTTTCAATACACGTTTATCTAGCTAGTTTCTAATCAAACGCCCAATACAAGTGTGAAGCGGAGTTATTTAATGACTTGCCCTGTGGTAGAGCTCTGGATATCTGTGGTGGAATCCAATCTATGTTACATCAAAAAATATTCCCTGTTTTTTTTTAGGCCGTGGGTGCGTTATAAGAGGGTAGTCAATCCCTTAGCATGGGTGGTTGGTCGTATGATGCTGCTGACTGACTGGCTGTCTGTCTTCCTCTCTGGGACGGTGGCAGATAGCCTTAGTAGCTTTTCCATGAATATAAAATACAAATTTATTTAGTTGGTTTTTAATAAAACGCACTCAAGAAATTTCGTAAATGGCATTACTTAAAATCTCTTTTATGTAAAGTTTTGCGATGCGATTGCAATTCCATTTTGCCCTCTATTGTTGGAAAGGCTGGAATAATGGTACTATGTCACGTATTGATCTGTGGAAGTTGTTGGAAAGGCTGGAATAGTGGTACTATGTCACGTATTGATCTGTGGAAGTTGTTGGCAAGGCTGGAATAATGGGACTGTTATGTATTGATCTATGGAAGTAGTTGGAAAGACTGGAATGATGGGACTGTGTCATGTATTGATCTGTGGAAGTTCTTGGGAAGGCTGGAATAATGAGACTGTCATGTATTGATCTGTGGAAGTTGTTGGAAAAGACTGGAATGATGGGACTGTGTCACACGTCTTGATCTGTGGAAGTAGATGAAAATCTGAAGTTTTGTTATGACACAACACGTCAACTACTAAACTACCTCGTTTGAGGCATCCCCATGCTTAGTTAATATTGAAATGTACACTGTTAATTATATTTTCAAAGTAGGTTTGGTTGTTAGAGAAGTTATGGCTATTTGTGTGTGGTCTCATTTTCCATTATATTGTATAATTCCTGGATTACGAAAGAATACAATGAGTCAAATTACTACTTATACTTGAAAAGTTATCAAGCCACAAGACTTAGGAGAAGACATCGTTATTTACCTTCGTACACATGGTCACAGATGGGTCAGGGGCAAATATGAAAAAAAAAAGTAAATGGAAAACCTACTAACCTATTTACAAACAGTTTAGTTTCATACGAAGCTAGATGTGTTTTTAATGTTGATAATTTACGATAGGGGCGTCTTAGCCGTTCACTTGATCCTATTGTTCGGAGTGTCTAATGAGCTTTCATAACTTGTTATTTTCTTTACGTTTTACGTTTAACGAAACCAATAGATTACCTAGGTAACCATCTTGTAACGTTTAAATATCTGAACAAAAATTGTTTTCAGACTGATAAAAGAAATACCACGTTGCTAGGCGACTGTGTACCAAGGTCACCCGAGAGAAGTGATGTTTATTCGCAGAACATTCAAGGATAGAAGTTTGTCGTGTAACTTTTCTCATAGTCATAAGCCGAGCGTGACCCAAGGGTTATGGATCTGCGGGTCCAAAGTTCGCGTCACACTACCAGAAAAACAAAACAAGAAATTCGCTCTCTCCACTTTGGGACTGTCGTTGCGTTGTGAGAGTCGTACTCAGACTCAGATTTCACTATCCCGCGATACGAGAGTAATCCACTACTAGAAGGTTGGATATTCTATGAATAAAAAAAAAAATGGGGACAGCTAGGGCAGAAAGTTTTTAAGTAGCTTTGTGCGAATGACACCCCTCCCCCACAAAAACATCTCAGTCATGCTTTTTCTTTGTTTTGTTCTTATTGAAAAAGTTGAACCCCAAATTTTAACGTTATAAGTTCTTAAGCTTAAGGTTGACCAACCGATAGGAAAGAGATGGTCGCAATCATATGTTGTCTCGGTGATTGTCCCACATAATAGGCCTCGCTATCTCGGTAATTGCCCCCATAATGGTTCACTCTGTCTCGCTAACTACCCCCGTAATAGTTTGAGCTATCTTGGTAACTACCCCGTAATGGTTATTGTCGTTTATGTTTTAAGAGTAGCTGGCTGGTAGTTATAACTAAGTAAATGATTTTTTTTTCTCCTTTAAACAGTAAAGCATGATTTGTGAAATTGTAATCAATTATTGATATTAATCAATTAGGATAAAGCGATCGCACATCTTAAGTATGAAAGCGTCTTGCTAAAATACGCATGCGCGATTCTACGTTAACCCTATAACCATATATGATTTGTTTAACTCTAGCTACGTGCACGGGTGGAACGTTCTTTATCTTCTGTTTTTACCATCGTGTGCAAAAAGAGAAATAATATGTTGCTCCATGGTTGTATGTAACCATTATGATAAGACCTGCCTTCAACGCAGACAACTATAAGAGGTGCCTCTAATTTTTATCATCATTTTTTTTTAACCCTAACACAGTCTCCACTTAATAAGCTCTATATTGTACGCATTTCATAGGATCAATGGCCAAGCTCTTAGCAATAAGCCGACTCGCATGTACCAAGGTTTGTTTTCAGTCATGGGAGAGACTACAACTAGCACGTGCGTCTGTGCTTTTTATCCTCCTGTACGATGTACTTGCTGGGATGGTTTCCGTTACCAAGCTTGTGACGGTGATGGCCACGTGCTCCTACGTCATATCAGTGATCAGTTTTGTTTTCTTAAAGAGGAAGTAGTTGCTCATCAGTTAATTCGTAAATGTGTTAAATTAACAAGGTACAGCACATATACGTACGTGGTAGTTTACTCCTACAGTCTCGTTGTGCCCGCCAGAAGCGACAAATAGCTGCTCTAGTTTTAAGTCTGCAAGGCAGCTCGTTAAAAAGGGTTGTGACGATTGATTGTAGATTTGTCACTCTCGTAGACATTAAAGTCTTCCATTCAGTCATTCATTTCGTGTCTCTAGACGACGTAGAAAATCACGTGAACCATAAGAAGTAACGTTTTAGCAAAATTTTCTTGGCGTAGCACCCGATGCCATTGGTGCAGTGTCAACAGCACAACTTTTTTTAGGAAGTGTACGTGTAACCGCACCAATTTTTAGGAAGTGTACGTGTAACCGCACCAATTTTTAGGAAATGTATGTGTAACCGCACCATTTTTTAGGAAATGTACGTGTAACAGCGCCACTTTTTAGGAAATGTACGTGTAACCGCTTCACTTTTTAGGAAGTGTACGTGTAACAGCGCTGTTGTTCCAATCGGCTACATCCATTATTGGAAAGGGTGTACATAAGAGCTGTGTGGAGTTTCGCTCTTTGCAAGACAATGATGCGCAGAGCGTGGTACGATGGTTAGCGTTTCTGACTGTGGATTAGAGGTTTTATGGTTCGCGCCCTGTTACATCAAAAACAAACAAAATAACACTTGCTCAGCAATTTGGGGCCATGAGTACTTTATAATAGTAACAATTAAATCCCTATATATGTTAGAGTAGCTCAAGAGTTGGCGGTGAGTGTTGTTGTCTAGCTGCCTTACTTCTCTATTATTTCAGAACTCCAGTAGTTTTGTGTGAAAATCAACCACAAACAGGCTTGTCAACAATGGAGGTTTCAGATCTTTCGTCTCATTAGACAAAATTAAAGACTTCAGTAACACACACACACACACACACTGTAACTTTGACTACATCTTTACTTTCAAGAACAATGAAACAAGGGTTGTTGAAGATAAATATTAACCAATAAATATATTACTGCAGATTTATCAATGTCATTCGCTATAGATTATTTTTGAAAATGTGAGAGTTTCCAAACTGAATTATACACTATAATGTTGATTTTAATGTATATTTCTCTCGCCACTGTCTACAGATTTATTAATTCTTTTGGAGTAGGTTTGTGAAAATACAATATTTAAAAGTTGCTTGTTCTTCAGATATATTTTACCGTAAGTCACTTCTTTTCTTTGTTTTTTTTTTATCTCGGAGGGTGATGGTTTATAAAAGGTACAACCTTTTCACAGCTCCTATACTGTATCATATACATACACACACAAGGACGACATGTTGGGCATTTATCCTTGTGCATTTTGGTGGTATATGAAGCTGTATCTACGCCTTTTAGATATGTTCTATATATGGGTGTGTGTGAGGGGAGGCACACATTCTGCCGACGCACGTGGACTTTATTGTGAAAATAAGCTTATCCAGGCATTCTTATGTCTAATTCCTGGACGTCTAATGTAACTCCCATTTTATCCCCATCATTATGTTAAATGTGATTCACAAGCCAACCTCATGTCAGACACCGAATCCACAGGAGGGACGTATGTATTAACCGTGTCAAACAAAATTCAAAACTAGCTTTGCAAGCACGTCCTTGGTGTTGCCTGACGAACTAACATTTTCCACACCTGCACTGACGTCCTCCGTGACGTCAACAAAACGCTTTAATACTAACAAGTGATTTCAGGTTCACGTGCAGCTAGAAAGTCATAAAGATCAAGTAATCAAAACTGTAAATATATATATATAATCAAAAACCTTGAATTAAGCAGTAATAAAGAAAGTTTTAAATTACGAACTACGACAAGCTGGTTTACTCATAAGACGACATCCAGAGGGCACTGTCAAGATTTTTAAGCACAGTTTTACTTATTTTTTAATGCATTCCTTTTCAAACTCATAGTAGAACATTACAATCCTTTGTGTTATGACGTAACAAGATTCTTCCTGGTGTTGCTTTTTCTGAATGTTGTTCAATAGTTTGTGTTTTCCCCATCCAGGCAAATGGTTAATTTATTTTTTCTGTATCTATCTATACATTACATTGTACGTTAAGTTATACTAGTGAAAGTGTGGATGAAATAGAGTTCCGACTTCCCTTTGTGCATCTTGTCGTAAGCAGCTATTAAACGTTTTTCTCTTGCCCCCCCCCCCATTCCGAGAGCTAATAACGTTCAAAATCAGGTTTGGATACCCGCGACTGGCACAGTACATATAGCCCATTATGTAGCTTTGTGCTTAATAACAAACACACGCACATCTGTCTTGTTTGGCTGTTATAAAGTAAGCCAATTTGAATGTAAGTGAACCTGTATTCCATGTCTGTTTTAAATTTAGTTTAATGTTAGTTATAACGTTTATATATGTATATAAATTTAACAAGTCACATTTCTCTTCTTGTGGGTATTTATTGTGTTTTAAATAATATAATCTAGTTATATAATAATATATTCTTCAACTGTACACCTTCTCACCATTTACGTTGTTGTGTTGAACATTTTTCATGAAAAAATCTGCTAGTTGCTAATGCACACTGTTTGATACAGTTGGGAAGATTCCAGTTGCCAATGCACACTGTTTTTATATAGTTGGGAAGATTCAAGATGCTAATGCACACTGTTTTATACAGTTGGGAAGATTCAAGTTGCTAATGCACACTGTTTTATACAGTTGGGAAGATTCGAGTTGCTAATGCACACTGTTTTATATAGTTGGGAAGATTCGAGTTGCTAATGCACACTGTTTTATACAGTTGGGAAGATTCGAGTTGCTAATGCACACTGTTTTATACAGTTGGGAAGATTCAAGTTGCTAATGCACACTGTTTTATACAGTTGGGAAGATTCGAGTGCTAATGCACACTGTTTTATACAGTTGGGAAGATTCCAGTTGCTAATGCACACTGTTTTATACAGTTGGGAAGATTATTTTAAGTTGTGATCTGTGTGGTTAGCTCACTTTGATCAGAAGCTACTAGTGGTAATATTGTGTTGGATGGACTATTCAGAACTGATGAGACAAATAACGGCACACGTAATGCCATGGTTTGTATTCCGAGTTTGAAATCTTGGTCTGCGCGTCTACAATATCGAGAAATAAATAAAATTCAAATGGTCCGGAGGCATGATTTGGGCAATTACATTAGAATCTTTCGAAAAATATTTTATGCTAACTCTAAAACTAGAAGGCATGGTAAGAGTATGTAAAGACGTGCATTGTAGGAGATCTCATAGTGTTGCATTATCCAGGTGTTCCAGACACCTGCAGAAGTCTGGTGTTGTATCGAACAGCCCGTTTCGGTGCTCTACACCCAAAGCAAACAAGACGACAGTTGTCTGTCCCTCTATAATCACACTGATGTACTAGTTTCATGAAATTCCTTTTCCCTCTCATTTAACATGTTCATTATCTTTGTTAAAAACTGAGTTTGTATCTGCGTAAAGATGCTTGTTTGAATTTGTTTGTTTGTAATTAAACAGAAAGCCACACAATGGGCTACCTGTGCTCTGCCCACCACGGCTATCGAAACCCGGATTCTAGCGTTGTAAGTCCGCAGACATACCGCTGTGCCACTGGAGGGCGCTTGTTATAAGTTATATTATAAGTCTCCGCTACACGAATACTGCAAGAAAATTCATACTTTACAAATGTGTTGCAGGTGAATCCCCCCTTGAACATGTATAGTTAAGTTTCACACAGTAGTCGAGAGTATTACATTTATAGAAGGAGGTGTAAAACCCAACAATAAAAGTATGGTATTGTATAAAATAAAATACAAAAAAAAGGGGTGCGTGCCTATGTGTCGGACTTTTCGTTACTAAATTAGCCCACGTGCTCCGTCGCGGCGTGAGCTATACTGAGGTTAGACAAATGTGTTCACGAAACAAGGAGAAACGTCACCTGCTCTTCATTTAGCTTGACGTATGACGTCATCCGCCTATGATTAAAAAAACAAATGTGTTCATCCATAAATGGACGTGTTGAGTTAAAACTTCAGATAAAAATACTTCATTTCTAATCCACCCAAAACTTTGAAGCTGGAAAGTTCTTGCTAATGTTTAATTCAAAATAATCATTAGAGTTTCTTAAATTACATTTTATTTGAAGTATGTTAATCTATACCAGATAGGTATCTGTGATACATGCCCGTTTATGTGTAGGTACCTGTGATACATGCACGTTTATGTGTAGGTACCTGTGATACATGACCGTTTATGTGTAGATACCTGTGATACATGCCCGTTTATGTGTAGGTACCTGTGATACATGCCCGTTTATGTGTAGGTACCTGTGATACATGCCCGTTTATGTGTAGGTACCTAGTATTTATCACAGATACCTACACATAAACGGGTATGTATCACAGGTACCTATACATAAACGGGCATGTATCAGAGGTACCTATACATAAACGGGCATGTGTCACAGGTACCTATACATAAACGTGCATGTATCACAGGTACCTACACATAAATGGGCATGTATCACAGGTACCTACACATAAACGGGCATGTATCACCGTTTTTCTAATAGTTAACTGTGGTACCTGCCCGTTTATCTATAGGTATCTGTGAGACATACCCTTTTATTTATACGTATATCTGATACAAACCCGTTTATCTATAGGTAGGTACCTGTGATACATGCCAGTTTATCGATAGGTAGGTACCTGTGATACATGCCAGTTTATCGATAGGTAGGTACCTGTGATACATGCCAGTTTATCGATAGGTAGGTACCTGTGATACAAACTCGTTTATCTATAGGTAGGTACCTGTGATACATGCCAGTTTATCTATAGGTAGGTACCTGTGATACATGCCAGTTTATCTATAGGTAGGTACCTGTGATACATGCCAGTTTATCGATAGGTAGGTACCTGTGATACATGCCAGTTTATCGATAGGTAGGTACCTGTGATACATGCCAGTTTATCGATAGGTAGGTACCTGTGATACATGCCCGTTTATCTATAGGTAGGTACCTGTGATACATGCCAGTTTATCGATAGGTAGGTACCTGTGATACATGCCAGTTTATCGATAGGTAGGTATCTGTGATAAATACTTGTTTATGTATAGTTAACTGCAGTACATACTCGTTTATGTATAGTTAACTGCAGTACATACTCGTTTTTCTAATAGTTAACTGTGGTACCTGCCCGTTTATCTGTAGTTAACTGTGGTACATACTCGTTTTTTAAAAGTTAACTGGTACCTGCCCGTTTATCTATAGTTAACTGTGGTGCCTGCCCGTTTATCTATAGTTAACTGTAGTACATACTCGTTTTTTAAAAGTTAATTGGTACCTGCCCGTTTATCTGTAGTTAACTGTGGTACATGCCCGTTTATCTAAAGTTAACTATAGTTGTGTATTTTCTTGTTACCTTTGTAGATAATATTGAGTAAGTGTTAGTGAAATAATTTTATCCCAACAGATTCTTCCAAGTTAAAACGAAGAAGAAAAACCAAAGATAAAACAACGAATATTGGAGAAGGTTATCGTCATTCTTTTCATAACGAAAGGGTGCGCTCCAAGCGCTCCGTGTCCATTGAGCGAAATGTGGAAGTGCTGATTGCTGTAGACAGGCAGATGGCTGACCAGTACGGTGAAAGTTTGCGTCATTATGTCCTAACTCTAATGTCAGCCGTAAGTATCAAAGTTTGTGCCAAGTTACTAAACAATGTATATACCTTTTTCTAAGACGCCCTCTAGGAATGGTAAGGAAGAACTAACAATGATTGGCGCACGTCGTTCGAAGAAAATTTTTATTTTAGAATGCAATAAACGCCATTTCAGTTTTCAGTAAGTAGAGGGGCAACATTTATTTTTGGTCAACATGTAATAATCAGTATTTTGGAAGCACTTGCGTAGTTCGCCCGCGCGTGTGACGATTGTTCCAAAAAAAATTATAAATAAATTATATTTAAACTGTGGAGAGCATCTCCCTCCCCCCGTTCTAAATAAATGGCGCCTCTGCAAGAATGGTGTTGTTTGAATCTTTGTCTTAAGCCTATTTCAAGTAAAAATCGAAAGTAGTTTTTGCTAAAAATGTCAGAATTTGAATATTTCTCACTTGTAGTTCAGTAGTAGGTGTGGGTTCTAATCTCGATCATATAATAGAAAAAAAGAGGTGGTCGTTTAAAGTCAGGAAATGAAATAAAATGAAATGAAATTTTTCAAAATACGTCTTCCCTCAGATTAATTAATTGAATATCGCAAAGATATTTTTAAAAGAAGTTAATTCTAAAGAAAACCAGAAATGGTCAAAAAATCGCGATTAATTTTTCATAAACGTTGAAAGTAGTTAATACTGAATAAATAAACATGCTGTGTTTAGTTTCCCTTTTAACACCAACAGAGGGCGCAAAATATGTCTGAATACAGAAAAAAAATTGACACGAGTCACATTTTTGAATTTGTTAAAAATATTGATTCTGGTAAATTTCGGTTAGTGTCAGTTTCTTTTCTAACGAGAATAGAGGGCGCAACATGTCTCTATTGGAAAGTGGTTAAGATCTTATACAGCATCTTTATTATATGAGGTGTTTGCATTTTCATTGGTTTGAACTAAATGTTCGACCTAATTAAAGTATTTTTTATTATTATTATGTAAATAAAATGCAATCTATAATAATAATAATAACAATAGAAACCTAAGTGTTTTAAGCTACATTTTTCTTGTATCTGTAACTTAGATTTCCTCTGACTCTGTGTGTTTTAAGTTACATTTTTCTTGTATCTGTTACTTAGATTTCCTCTGACTCTGTGTGTTTTAAGTTACATTTTTCTTGTATCTGTAACTTAGATTTCCTCTGACTCTGTGTGTTTTAAGTTACATTTTCTTGTATCTGTAACTTAGATTTCCTCTGACTCTGTGTGTTTTAAGTTACATTTTTCTTGTATCTGTTACTTAGATTTCCTCTGACTCTGTATGTTTTAAGTTACATTTTTCTTGTATCTGTAACTTAGATTTCCTCTGACTCTGTGTGTTTTAAGTTACATTTTTCTTGTATCTGTTACTTAGATTTCCTCTGACTCTGTATGTTTTAAGTTACATTTTTCTTGTATCTGTAACTTAGATTTCCTCTGACTCTGCAGGTTGCGATGATTTACAAGGAGCCCAGCCTTGGAAATTTCATCAATATCGCAGTAGTGAAGCTGGTTGTTCTAAGTGAGGAAGAGGTAATAACATAATGTAGTAAAGTGTCTTACCTTAAGTAGCAATGACTTGATATAGTAGTGTTTTATCTTAAGTAGCAATGACTTAATATAGTAGTGTCTTACCTTAAGTAGCAATGACTTAATATAGTAGTGTATTATCTTAAGTAGCAATGACTTAATATAGTAGTGTATTATCTTAAGTAGCAATGACTTAATATAGTAGTGTCTTACCTTAAGTAGCAATGACTTAATATAGTAGTGTCTTACCTTAAGTAGCAATGACTTAATATAGTAGTGTCTTACCTTAAGTAGCAATGACTTAATATAGTAGTGTATTATCTTAAGTAGCAATGACTTAATATAGTAGTGTATTATCTTAAGTAGCAATGACTTAATATAGTAGTGTCTTACCTGAAGGAGTAATGACTTAATATAGTAGTGTCTTATCTTAAGTAGCAATGACTTAATATAGTAGTGTCTTACCTGAAGGAGTAATGACTTAATATAGTAAACAGTGTATCAAATGAAGGGGTAATGACTTAATATAGTAAACAGTGTATCAAATGAAGGGGCAATGACTTAATATAGTAAACAGTGTATCAAATGAAGGGGCAATGACTTAATATAGTAAACAGTGTATCAAATGAAGGGGCAATGACTTAATATAGTAAACAGTGTATCAAATGAAGGGGTAATAATTTAATTTAGTAAAGTATCGTACTCAGCCTTCTGGGTGTTTTATGTCTATGTTTTGTATAATGTAACAACAAATAAATCATCCTTACTTTGTGTAAACTCCAGAACCGGGAAGTTGTACATTCAAGTGCGTCTAAAACATTACGTAGCTTCTGTCGATGGCAACAGATTAACAACCATGATGACGACAACCATCCACATCATCATGATACTGCTGTCCTCATTACAAGGTAAGATTGGTGGTACCTGCCATCCTTTCTGTAGACATCTGCCATCCTTGTTTTCTAATTGTTACCATCCTATCCATTAACATTTACTGTATGGATATAGGTGAAGAAAGAACATGTAAATACATCATACATATAATTATTAATCGTGTCATAAAACAGGTTTCATCAGGTTATTTGTGACGCCAGTATAAGATATTAGTGTTCTCATCCGTGATATCAGTTTATGTAAAACAGTTATCTGTGACGCCAGTATAATATATTAGTGTTCTCATCCGTGATATCAGTTTAGGTAAAACAGTTATCTGTGACGCAAGTATAATATACTAGTGTTCTCATCCGTGACATCAGTTTAGGTAAAACAGTTATCTGTGACGCCAGTATAATATATTAATGTTCTCATCCGTGACATCAGTTTATGTAAAACAGTTATCTGTGACGCCAGTATAATATATTAGTGTTCTCATCCGTGACGTCGTTTAGGTAAAACAGTTATCTGTGACGCCAGTATAATATATTAGTGTTCTCATCCGTGACGTCGGTTTAGGTAAAACAGTTATCTGTGACGCCAGTATAATATATTAGTGTTCTCATCCATGACGTCAGTTTAATATAATACAGTTATCTGTAACATCAGTATAATATAATACTTTGATAGATTGTTTCGACAGAGTATTAGTTGAATGGACGACAAGTGCCTGTTTTAAAAACACAAATGTAGACTTGAAGACGAAAGGCGGAAGACTTTCGAAACGTCGTCCTCTACACTTGTGTTCCTACAACAGACAGTTTTCGTCCATTCAACTAAGTTTCATCAATATAATAGTTACCATCCGTGACGTCATCTTAATCACAATAATTCTACGTAGTTCAAACTTAGGTTATCAAGAACTACCGTAATATGATACTTACTAGTAGCAACGTTTCTTAAAAAAAAACACGAAATAAATGTAATTTAACAACATAGACGAATACGTTAATAACACGACTTTTCAGTGGTGATAATAACTTGATTTTTCTTTAAGGGAAGACTTGTGCCGAGTCGCCAAGGCGTGTGATACTCTAGGTAAGTAGGTTTTGGTCGATGTGAAAGAATAAATATTTCCGTAACACTTGACTGTAATGGCATCTATTTTCAAAAGGCATAAATTAACATAATCAAGTCATTATACCTTAAGAAATTGTATAAAAATATTTTTTAAAAATTTATTCTAATAAATTAAAATGTGTTATTTGCTGTTGTCAAAGATAAACTTTGACTTAGTTTGTATGAATAATTCACAACCAAAATTATTGTAGTCTCTGACCTTATTCGTTTAACCATGGCGTCGCATAATGAGCCGTTCAGGTTGAAAATACCGAATACCTCATTCGAACCTAACAAATATTATTATGTGAAATACTGCCTAAGCTACTGTTTGTTTGTTTTTGTGTGTAAAGATACTTTTCCAGTTGACTTCACCTAACACCATTGCTGTCTGAAATCTCATGATTTATATTGTATAGCCTTATTACAATCGTTTATCCATCACGCGTGGAGACGAAAAGCTGACTTCAGAGTCGTAAGGATGTAGCTGTAGCAATCTCGGTCATCGCCATAGTTACGGTAGTAATTTCAATCATCACCGTCATTATGGTAGCAATCTCGGTCATCGCCATAGTTACGGTAGTAATTTCAATCATCACCGTCATTATGGTAGTAATCTCGGTCATCGCCATAGTTACGGTAGTAATTTCAGTCACCATCATCGTTATGGTAGTAATCTCGGTCATCTAGCAATCTCGGTCATCGCCATAGTTACGGTAGTAATTTCAATCATCACCGTCATTATGGTAGCAATCTCGGTCATCGCCATAGTTACGGTAGTAATTTCAATCATCACCGTCATTATGGTAGTAATCTCGGTCATCGCCATAGTTACGGTAGTAATTTCAGTCACCATCATCGTTATGGTAGTAATCTCGGTCATCGCCATAGTTACGGTAGTAATTTCAGTCACCATCATCGTTATGGTAGTAATCTCGGTCATCGCCATAGTTACGGTAGTAATTTCAGTCACCATCATCGTTATGGTAGTAATCTCGGTCATCACCATAGTTACGGTAGTAATTTCAGTCACTATCATCGTTATGGTAGTAATCTCGGTCATCACCACAGTTATATCCATGATCCATACCATGGTTATAACTTTTCTGTATGAGTGAAATTCAGACATTGCGAACATCATTATTTCGTCTGTAACTTTTTAAAACTCCACTCCTGCAATCGAAACTTAAATTCCTAATTGATATTATCTTTTAGAATTATTTGTGTTAACAATTAATTATCAGGATAGAATATAATATAAGAATACATAAAGTTAATCTTAGGTCCCTAGTGTCCAGAACAGTTTGGTCTTATCAAACAAGCCTCTAAGATGAGGTTGATGGTCTAAGAAAAACGAGTTTTGGTGCCAGTGTCTGGATGGTACTGTCATATTTGTCACTAGTATGATAGCGTTTTGATTTGCTTCCAAATATACCGTAGACTGCCTCATCAAAGTTAATAAGACAGTGTTAAAGGAGTGTCATAAAGAACAAGTCAAGGGTTTTTTTTGTGTCTGGTGTTTATGGAAAGGTCAGAAGAAATAGCTCATCACTAGCTTCGCTATTTATTACTTGATGCTTCTCTAAAGACATTATCACTTTAGGTTTAGCACAAGTACAGTAACATTAAGGGTTTGTTAAGAACATTTGGACATCATCTTAGAGAAAGCATTACCATCATTAAAAATTTACAGTTACCCTATATGTCAACCCTCAAATCTGTTCTTGTACCGCTGTATATTGTTACCCTTTTAATTGAAACTAATGTAGTAAGCAAATGGTAAGTAAAATAGGCTTTTTAATGTGTACGTGATACCATTAGAGATAAATTGAGCTATTTAATGTGTGCGTGGTACCACTGGAGATGAAAGGAGCTGTTTAATGTATATGTAGTACCACTGAAGATGGAATGAGCTGTTTAATGTATACTTGGTACAATTGAAGATGAAATGAGCTGTTTAATGTATACGTATTATCACTAAATATGAAATGAGCTGTTTAATGGGTACTTAGTACTATTAGTGATGAAATGAGCTGTTTAATGTAAATATGAAATGAGTTGTTTAATGGGTACTTGGTACTATTAGTGATGAAATGAGCTGTTTAATGGGTACTTGGTACAATTGAAGATGAAACGAGCTGTTTAATGTATACGTATTATCACTAAATATGAAATGAGTTGTTTAATGGGTACTTGGTACTATTAGTGATGAAATGAGCTGTTTAATGGGTACTTGGTACAATTGAAGATGAAATGAGCTGTTTAATGGGTACTTGGTACAATTGAAGATGAAATGAGCTGTTTAATGTATACTTGGTACAATTGAAGATGAAATGAGCTGTTTAATGGATGCTTGGTACAATTGAAGATGAAATGAACTGTTTAATGGGTACTTGGTACTATTAGAGATGAAATGAGCTGTTTAATGGGTACTTGGTACTATTAGAGATGAAACGAGCTGTTTAATGGGTACTTGGTACAATTGAAGATGAAACGAGCTGTTTAATGGGTACTTGGTACTATTAGAGATGAAATGAGCTGTTTAATGGGTACTTGGTACTATTAGAGATGAATGAGCTGTTTAATGGGTACTTGGTACTATTAGAGATGAAATGGGCTGTTTAATGGGTACTTGGTACAATTGAAGATGAAATGAGCTGTTTAATGTATATGTAGTACCACTGAAGATGAAATGAGCTGGTTAATGAGTACTTGGTACTATTAGAGATGAAATGAGCTGTTTAATGGGTACTTGGTACAATTGAAGATGAAATGAGCTGTTTAATGGGTACTTGGTACTATTAGAGATGAAATGAGCTGTTTAATGGGTACTTGGTACTATTAGAGATGAAATGAGCTGTTTAATGTATAATTATCATTTTACGATGGTAATGCTTGAAGCTATCTAACAGACGCTTAAATTTTACTAACAGTAAGTAGAAGAAGGACCAAATGTTATCCTTCAAACCAAAAACATAAAATCATTTTATTTCTTCTTCTAGGTCTGGCAAATCCAGGAATGGTGTGTTCGCGCTACAGCAGTTGTGCAATTGTAGAGGACAACGGACTCAGTGCTGCGTTTACTATAGCTCACGAGCTGGGGCACGTGTAAGTTTACTGTCCGCTAAATTTTTAATGTTGGCCCACGTGTAAACTTACTATACTTTATTTTTTTTACTGTAGCCCTCGAGCTGGGGCAGGTGTAAGTTTACTATCCTTTAAGTTCTTACTGTATGTTTTCTCTCAATACGACTCATGTTTTAGTAATCCATTTTAAAGTATTATTTCTTCGTTATTTAAAATTATTTTTATACGTTTTGTGAACGATTGAATGACAATAGATTACCGAAAGAATATATTTTGTATAATAATTATATTAACTCTTTCATACTTGCGTATGTATACGTAACACCTCATTCCCAATTATAAAGTAGGCTTAACTAAGGTAATAATATTTTAATAGAAAACATTCATATACGATTTTTTTTAAAAAAGGACTTAAAAATTAAATTAAAAACTTCTATGTTATTCCACGTTTTGTACATTATCAATTTATTGTGTAGTTTATATGGTATCACGTGTTATCAACAGGATAAAGTACCCATTTGATCGCATGTTAGGCCTAGTTTTTCCGTGAAAGTTGGATTTCGTTTCAGTAGTGCGGCATTATATATATATATATATATATATATATATAC